GACTGTCCATGCTCTAGGCTTCTTGCAACTTGTGACTTTGAACGTCAAGATGAGGCCATACGTTTGGTGTGGAAGGCGTGCTCCTGAGACCAAGTTAGACACAAGGGAGCTGTCAGGATAGCAGTGTTCCCCAGTGCCCACCACCCCACCTGCCATCAGACTTCCTTGAGCTCTGCCGGACATGGCAGTGAGGTTCGTGATTTCACGACAGCACTACTAAACGCTCTCCTATGGCGTAGAACCAAGGTGATGTTGACATCTTAGGACTTGATGGTGGAATGTAGGAGTTATACGTTTTCCTTTTTGACAATATGGTGGACTTTGTCTCCTGGAAGAGCCCTCGGCTAGAAAAGCCTAGGAATTAGAGACGGTGAATGATGAATGTAATGGGCGACGAGACCTGGGGGCCGAGAGCCACACCTGTGGACCCCTTAGACACCCCAGGTGAGAGTTGGGGGCATGTCTCTGCCCTGGCCACAGATTTCTTGGGGAGGCAGTAGACAGGCTGAGGGCCTCACAAGGTTGGGCCCATGAGAGCTGTGCCTGCGGACCCCTTAGACCAGCACTTGTCTTTTCTGGCCAGTGTTCAGACAGGGTGAGGGGCTTTGAGCAGTCTTCCCAGAGACTAGCCCATCCTGCCCCCGGAACCCTGGCGCTCTGTCCTGCACCACCTCTACCTCGTGCTGTTCGAAGTACCTCGCGCTCCCTCCACCCAGAGGTCTGGACAGATGGCCTCCGTGCAGCTCCCTGGTGCCCGAGTTCAGGCAAACACAAGCGCCCAGTCAGAACTACAGACCCTGAGGGAGAAAGCCGTCCTGAGAGCAGGTCAGCCCCAGGGGCTTCACGCTTTGGGGTGAGCAGGTACAAAATATGAAATCAGTATAATGTGATAAAAGAGAAAATTGAAAACACAAGCAGGGAGCAAGATACTGTCAAAAAAGATCATGTAGCTTTTTTAAAAACATAGAACATATGGAAATGAAAATTATCACTGAAATTAAAAATTCAGTTGACAGATCATATAGTTTACTAGATACAACATCCAAAAGAATTAGTGAGTTGAAAGTTATAACTAAAGAAATTGCCTAGACTGAGGCCATAAAGAAAAGAGGTGGGAAACATAAAGGAGCTTGCAAGGTGAAGAAGACGAGGCTCAGTGTCTGCATCCAGCCAGAGCTCCAGGAGGAGAGAAGGAGAGCACGGGTGCACAGAGAAGACGAGAAGTCCCTGTGTGTGTGAAAACGAGAGTCCTCAAGTTCAGGGAGTGTGACGCCTTATGAGCTGAGGGGAGGGAAATGGCTACACGTGGGAGTATTCTGTGCTGAAATCACAGGACAGCACAGAGAAGGCATTGAAAGTGGCCAGGAAAAGGAGATGTTGCCCCCAGAGCATGAGGCCAGCCTCCCAGGAGTCCCCACAGCTGGACACTCCTGACTAGTCCCGAGGAGGAGCCCTCCCAGAGCTCACTCTATTTTCCTTGCTGCCGGAATTCACTATAACTCAGAAGAGTCTCTTCTCCAACAGATGACGTCTGAGTTCTACTGGGGAGTGAAACGCAGTGGCAGGAAGTGGACTCCTGAGAACAAAGGTCCATCACAACCACCTGCCCTCTGCAGCCCCTGCTTCCCGGGAAAAGGCCACATTCTAGCTAGACAGCTGCAGTAGAGTGCAGGAGAAGCGTGTTCCAGAAGGCCTGGGGATGAGAAGGAGAAATGGGTTTAGTGGGAAACTGTGACAGCCTGAGAGGGTAGGGATTCTTGCATTTGCCAGCTGGGTGACTGCACACCAGGAAAGAAAGATGAAACGTGGCACCGACTTCATCAAGCACCAGTGAGGTGAACGTGCACAAGAATGAAAGTGCTCTCAAAGTCCAAGACACTGTCATCACTGTGTTTTCCTAAAGGTGATGTAGGGGCTGTCCAGGCTCAGGGGAAACCGTCTTCCACCCATCAGCCTACCAGGTGTGCCACAGCTGGTGTCAGAATATCAGGAGACACACACTGACCTGATGGATCAGGAAGGAAGCCTCCAGTAGGAAGCTCCGGCCTTGCCCCAGCCGTTAGGGTCCTTTGGGATCGTGGGCTCAGCTGTTTCCCACCCATGCTTTCCAGGACTCCACTTTCCTGGACCTCTGCCTCTGGGCCCCGTGCTGCTGTCAGCTGCAAAGCCCTCCGAGCTCTTAATCCAAGCCTCTTCAAGCTGCAGAGCACAGGCTCCGCCCCTAGTCTTACTGGCAGCACCGCACCCTCAGCCAGCACTTATTGCTCATACAGGACTTGCTCTGCTGTCACACGGACCTGCCAGGTCTCCACTCTGAAACTTGGCAAATGCCATTTGGAATTCATATAAGTTCTTCTTTGCTTCTGGTTGGATATCAGAAACGAAAAATTAGCAGAATGCCAAAGGAGCTTGCCGGTTGTCTTCCTCTCGTCCTGTTCCCCGACTGCGCTGGCCAGTGAGGGCTCCCTAGCCTGGGGAGATAGGTTTTGAAACCTTCTCTTCTACCTCTGAGAGGTTGGCCTCACCTGTGGACCTCTGGGTTAGCCCTTGCCCACAAGACACAGCGAGCTGAGCTGTTTGGCATGTGGTAGGAGGCGCAGGCGGGACCATTTCTGTAGCAGGTAACAATGCCCCATGTGCTAGAATGGAGAGCTCCCTCTGTGGGTAGCGCTTCTGTGGGCTCTCGCTCCTCCCCAGACTCACAGCCTGGCCTGACTTGGACCCTCCAGTACCGATAGCTACAGGTGCTTGTAGAAAACTACATTTTGCTATTGTGAAATTGGCATCTTAGACGATGCGATTACATTTGGGGTTTTCCTGTGTTAGGACACAGAGATGTCCTGTTTAAGTCCAGGGAAGCCCCTGTGAAAAGTGTGCTCTTTTTCCACATGTGGGGCAAATGAGCTTCTGTGAGGGTCAAATTCATCATAGGAGGGAGTGTCTGTGCCTTTCCCTAGAGCATTGCCAGGAGCGCTTACAGCGCTCCTGGCCAGGGGAGAGGGAGGACACAGTCCTGCCTTTGCCAGAGCTTGGCAACAGCAGCAGAGGGTGGGGGTGTGGTGCTGTAAGGACAGTGTCACCTGCCTGTCTCCACACACGGCTATCCCCATGCTCCACACAAGATCTTTGTCTCTTCTTGAGACCGCAGGCCTGGTACCGTTAGGTCCTGCTGTGCAGTGGGGGACAAATTCTGTTGCTGCAGAAAGCCTTGTGTGCAGAAGGCCACAGGTTGTTCTCAGCTGCCACTCATAGAAGTGCAGGCCCTGCTGCCACCTCTGTGACCTCCAAAGAGTCCACTGCCTGCACTGTTGCTTAGAGACCGTGGCTCTGCTGACCTTTCAGGTTCCTCTGGCGTCTTGAAATCAATGTCATGTCTCTCCTTAAGACACCCCAGCGAGATCCTGCCCTGCTGTCCGGGTCCACCTGGGACCCCGAATACCTGCACACGGCAGAGAAGTGGTGCCGATGTGTACTCCATGACCTCTGGAGTTACTCCACGTGCTTAGTAAATGTCGCACGCAGCCAGAGGCTCTCAACACCGTGCGTGCAGACTCATGAGGCTGTGTGTGCTTTTCCGAGGCTCTGCTTCCCTCCTTCTAGTGGACATTATGTCTCCACGGCCCTAGGCAAGTGTTGTGCTCAGTGGGGCGCAGTGGGCAAGAGCCCCTGAGAGACCGGAGGCCCTGACTTTTGGAGACCATACAGTGCTTCCTGGGAGATGGGGTGGGAGTGGGGTCCAGAGCGCAGAGTGTGGGGATTCTGTCATTGTTTATACATTGGCCCTGGAAAGCTTCTCATCTTGGTCACCTTCATCATCAGAACATGTACATGAGCGCCGTGTGGCCAAGTGGGTAAAGGTAGAGAAGGCGTGGAGAGTGTGAGGCAGGTGCAGAGACAGGTCAGCAGAGCCCTCAGCGGTATGAGAGCTCAGACACTGCCGCCCTGGTCTGGGACGGTGGCCCAGTCACTTCTCAAGTGTGGCCTAGTGTCTTAGAGCCGCAAGGTCAGAGCTGCTGCTCTAGTTCGTTATCCCATGGAGGCTTCCACGAAGTCTTGCCCTGGGACGCACCAGGAGGCCCGCCACACTGCTGCCTGTGCCTTTGCCAGGGCGTAGGGAGAATGGGGGATGGAGCGCAGGGGCTGGGGTCATTGGTTATTGATGAGGAGCATTCTTTCTGGAATTTACTTCCTCTCTAGGACCTGGGCCTTACAGATTGGTTAAAAACTAATTGTTGCTGCTGGTGGTGCCTGCAGTGCCTGGGTTTTACCACCTAAAACACGTCAGCATTCTCAGCAAATCACAACCTTAGTTTTTTAAAAGGCAGTTTAAAATACTTTTTAAGGAAATAGCAGTTTACAGAAAACTCTTCTTCAGAAAGTGGAAAATGACAACACATTTGTGGGGCCTAAGGTGGTGAATAGTGAGGGCTCTCTTTTCTGCGAGCAGAGTGGGTGAGGCAGACAGGGGATCATTCAGTCTGTACATCACTGACGCCACCCACCTCTTTAGGGTCAGACCCCAGCCAGGGAGCCAGCTCAGTGGACCTGGAGAGTCTGAGTGGGAAACAGAGACCCTCAGAGGAGAGTTTCAGAGACCTGCGCTCTTGTGGTAGCCCCCTTCCCTGCCTGTAGTTCACACCCTGCGACCTAGAACACCACGAAACCATCTTGGCCCCACACAGGGCTTCCACCCAGAACGCATGGGGCATGGGGGGATTCTGAGGCTCTCCACAGATCCCTAGTTTCCCATCAGCAGGAGGGGTGAGGGTGAGGAAGAAAGTGAGCTGCTGGCTCCTGCTTAGTGAAGTCTGGAGGTATCTTCTCTCCCCGCTCCCTGCCTCTTTGGAAACAAACAGCACGATGTGTTTCTGTTCGAGGTTGACAGGGTATTTTGTAATGGGTCAGATAAGTAGAGGATTTGCCTGTTATGAGGAGGCAGAGACGGGAACGGCTGAGCTGTTCCATTGTATCTCGTTAGTGCTCTGTGTTGATACCTTTAGATGCCTCCAGCTCAGTCCATGTCGTGGTACTGCAAGGCTGGTTCGCTCCTCGAAGCGCCATGGCATGAAATGGAGGTTCCTAGAAGCAAGAAGAAAGGTACAGTACTGACCAGTCGGCCTTGATCTATTTATGTATTTCTAACTGTGTTTGCCATTTTATATCTGTACTGTTTGGAGGCGGGACGGGAAGAAGGAATTGGATTATAGACACATGTTATCTAATAGATGGAGACTTGTCCTGTGTGAGCCAGGACGTCCGTGATCGGCTGTCCCACCACCTCTCACGTGGTGGGCAGTTTGGGGGGCACCTAGATTGGAGTGAATGGTCAGTGGGGCCAAGGCTTAGCAGGCTTCATTGGCTGACAGCCAGGTGTTGGAGTTGTGTTGCTCACAGTTACTGCTGGCAGAGGTGACGTTGGGCACCAGGGGCGCTGCCAGCTCTGTTCTCCCCTCTCCCTGGGAGCTGAGAGCAGGGAGGCAGGGGCTCCTTGGCGCCAGGTCAGGCTCTGGGTTCTGAGGACTCCATGGCATGAAATCTTCCCCCTCTCTCCTCCACCACCTCACAGAGAAGCAGGGTCCTGAGCGGAAGAGGATTAAGAAGGAGCCTGTCACCCGGAAGGCTGGGCTGCTGTTTGGCATGGGGCTGTCTGGGATCCGGGCTGGCTACCCCCTCTCTGAGCGCCAGCAGGTGGCTCTCCTCATGCAGATGACGGCCGAGGAGTCTGCAAACAGCCCAGGTGAGCCCCTGGGGTAGGAGCCCCCTGGGATGGGAGAGGCTCTCTCTCTGGGGTGGGCACCTGTGCAAAGGCGTCCCCTTTCCCTCATGAAAACGGCCCAGGTCCTGAAGGTTTCTGTACAGCAGGGACACTCCAGCCAAGCCCCGCTGGCTCCACTCCCAGTAATGCTCCATCTGTCCTCTCCTCGGCCTGCAGTAGATACAACACCAAAGCATCCCTCCCAGTCGACAGTATGTCAGAAGGGGACGCCTAACTCTGCCTCAAAAACCAAAGACAAAGTGAACAAGAGAAACGAGCGTGGGGAGACCCGCCTGCACCGAGCTGCCATCCGGGGGGATGCCCGGCGCATCAAGGAGCTCATCAGCGAGGGGGCAGATGTCAATGTCAAGGACTTCGCAGGTGAGTGCTCGTGGCGCCCGTGGGCAGAGGGCAGAAGGCAGCATGGTGAGTTCACAGAGGGCTGAGGCTGCCTCTACAGATGGGCGGACCCTCTGGCCCAGCGAGCTCAGTGTCCTCAGGGGCCAGTAGCCCCACCCCTAGGGATCTGCTCCGCAGGAGTGGGAGCCATTCCCCAGTGTGTGTTTCCATGGGTGCTTGCACGCGTGCGTGGAGAAGACCCCACTTTATACCAGTATGATTTGCTGTTTCTGAGAAGGAAGAATTAGTACTTCTTGGGAGATATTGCAAAATAAAATCACTTTCTTGTTTCTCATTATTTTTAAGAGAATTGAGGAATTTTTAGATATTACTCTGCAGTGTTATATAAACCCCTGTTCTGTGCTGGAGGATTCCTTTTTCCTGGCTCCCAGAGGGTCTGCCTCTGGCGTATTTAGGAGGAAGCCGTGTTGTCCCAGCAGAGGCTGCCTCATGCCTGTCAGCCCGGGACACCCTCCCACCTCCCAGGGAAGAAGTATCACCCCAGACCCTCTTTAGGATGGAAACCAGTGCCCTCCCTGCCCTGAGACAGGCGAGGCCCTTTGTTTACTTGAAGGCCCGGTGAGTGCAGTTCAGTGTGGCCTTTTTTGCGTAAAGTACTTCCATTGTGCAGTGATGCATCAGCAGATTCCAGAGTTGGCTGTTCCAAGTGGATGAGAATGTGAGATAAATGAAGCAGTCTTCCGGTAGAATCCTGGATTTTTATCTCTGCCCTAGTTAGTAGTTGTCTCACCCAAACCTAATTTAGCACCTTTGTTTTTAAAAGCAATTCTCTTAAATCAGGGTTTTCCCAGGCACTGGAATCTGTGTCCACAGGGGCATGCCCTGTTTGCACACTGACATGGTGGCCACTCTTCCTGGTGACAGGTTGAGGCTCCAGGTGGAAGCTGCCACCAGAGGAGGCCTCCCTGGTGGCCTCAGCCATGTGCTTCCCAGGGCGTGTTTCCAGACCTATGGCCATGGCCGCGAGCTCTGCTGTCCTACACAGGAGCCTTCTCAGCCTGTCTCTGTTACCCGTGTGCTGACGGATGAGCAGGGCTGAGCTGCCGTCATCACACTGTGCTCACCGGTCCTTGTCCATTGACAGGGTCTTGCTCCAGATTACCCCTGCAGGTTGACAGTCTGTAGGGCTAACAGGCTAGATGTCAGTGAGCAAACGAGGTGTTACAGTAAGGAACATTCGAGGTTTCCCTAGACTAGAGTCCCTCAGTACAAGGGATGCCCACCAGGCTTCTGTCCCCGTCATTAGCGTATCCTTGGAGTGCTGCCTCGAGACAGGAGTGAGCCAGGAGTTGTTCCTGAGGATTAAGTAACATATGTCCTAAGTGTCTGTTTCCAGGCTGGACAGCGCTGCATGAGGCATGTAACCGTGGCTACTATGACGTCGCAAAGCAGCTGCTGGCTGCTGGGGCGGAGGTGAACACCAAGGGCCTGGATGACGACACCCCCCTGCACGATGCTGCCAACAACGGGCACTACAAGGTGGGCACCTCCTTGCAGACCTGGGTGGGCCTGCCATCGGATTTGTGCCTCGCTCTGTAGTTCCTGTCTCTCTGTCCTTGCTGTCCTTCACATTTGCTAGGAAACTCAGAAGGGGGTCTTTGCCCGTACTCCACCCCCCCCACCCCCAACCAGCCCAGCTTTCTCGTTCTGAGTGGGCACCTGGCTGGCCTCTCACATCCCAACAATCAGCACTGCCTGCAGCGTGTAGACAGGCCTGCTCTGGCCGTGCAGGGTGGATTCGTGTTCGTGCCATAGGAAGGAGAGCTCTGGGGGCTGCTGTGGACCCTGTCCTTGTCCCTGTGGTGCTGTCAGACCTGGAAGGCCTGGACTGATGCGATGCTGAGAGGTGTAGCCAGTACCCAGGATGATCGTTGTCACAAGTCCAGGAGCAGTGAGCACCTTAGTGCACATTTTCCCCTGAGAGGACTCATCGCCCCCATCAGGTCTGAAACAGAAGGTGCACATGATGTGTCTCATGCATCTTGTGCTGCCAGAAAGCAGGGTGGTACACAGAGATGATGAGGGCCTTGCTGTGGTCACTACCAGAGCCACGGGACAGTCAAGCATGATGAGGACACACCACAGCCCCTTGTAGCAACCCCGCCCGGTCACTTTTGGCAGATGCAGGGAACCGGCAGCATCGAGACTGAGCAGCACAGTTGGAAAATGACAAGTCGCTGTGGGAGAATGGGGAAAGGCTCTGAATTAACAGGTTTCTGAGATGACAGGAGAAATCTTAACACCAGTGATACATTTGATGTTAGGAATTACAGTGAACTTTCAGGGAAGATAATGGCATTCTGTTTTGTTTCTTAATTTTTAAGGGCTGTTTTAGAGAAATATACTGAAAAGTTTATGAAATGTCTGGCATTTGCTAAAAAATACCTCGGGGAATGGGCCAGATGTGGGTGAAATGAGGCTGGCTGGTGAGCTGGTAGGTGATGGAGCTGGGAGTGAGGGAGTCGCCATTTGAATCTCTGTAGTTTTGTAATTATCATTTTAAAACTTTTAAAAAAATTATGGAAAATGTCAAAGAGGTGGAAACATGGTGAGGGAAGTATAATAATGGCCCCCAAAGACATCCCCATCCTGATCCTGGACTGTGGACATGTGGCCTCCCATGGCCAGGGGACTGTGCGCATGGGAGATGATCTTGGGTTGTCTGGGTGAGCTCATGGCCCTCAGGGGTCCTTACAGCCAGAGACCCTGTCCTGGCTGGGACAAGTTACCAGCAGAGGCAGGAGGGAGGGTGCTCGAACTGTGCTGCCGGCCTTAGAGGAAGGGGCCATGGGCCAAGGAATGTGGTGGCCTCCAGCCACTGGGGTGGCACTCAGCTGGCAGACAACAAGGACATGGGGACCAGAGTCCCACCACTGCAAGGAACCCTGTGTGCAGGGAAAGGAAGGAGCCAATACCTTGGCCTCTGACCTCCAGGATCCTCAGACTAAGGTGGTTGTGTTGGTTCAAGCAGCAGTGGGACACTCGTCCCCAGGAGGCTCTGTCCTGAGTGATGTACTAGATGAGACAGAGCACGTGAAGAATGCGAGTTTGTATTGACCCTTGTGAAAGGTTCTTCCAGTGCTCTAGGCTCAGACTAGACTAAGGTTGAGACTGAATTCGGTATTTGTACTTGAGTTCAGTGAATCAGCTGTCCTGGGTGTGTGACGCACAGGCTGTTAGTTGTAAACAGTTCAACAGGGCTGTTGAAATGTCTCTGTGTTTCTCTTCTTCACGTGACTGTCCTTACCCGTGTAAAATAAAGCAAGGAAGAGGTGATCTTATTTTCTAAAATAAATGAAAATATAAAATAAACCTGCTTGCAGAAGCTTGGTCTTTGTTTTCTCTGTTCTGTAACACCGCCTGCTCCTCCCCTCCCCCCCATAAAAAACTTCCCCCTACATAGCCAGAAACTTCCATGACCACTGGACCGCACTGGATGGCAAGCTTGCCATTGGCAGGAGGGGAGCCTATGTGAGAAAATTCTGGCCAAGTGATTGACTCGTTGTGAGGGAGGACTTCTGGAGCTGGGACTGTTCCGCCTGGAGGGGAGCCTGTGAGGGTCCTTCCTGCAGGAGAGGCACAGGTCCAGAGACTCTGCCAGGCGTGCTGTGCACACAGCTTGCGGCCTCAGCGTGGGCTGTTTTCTGGTTAAGCACAGGCTCTCTGGACGGTCACAGTTTTACACAGGTATAGTAATAGTGCGTCGGTGTTTCTCAGAAAGCTCCCTCATGTGCCTGCTGCTGTTTTGTAGGTGGTAAAGCTGTTGTTACGATATGGAGGAAATCCTCAGCAAAGCAACAGAAAAGGAGAGACACCACTGAAGGTGGCCAACTCCCCGACCATGGTGAACCTCCTGTTAGGGAAGGGCACCTACACGTCCAGCGAAGAGAGCTCCACTGGTCAGTGGCTGAGTGCTGGGTGTGTGTGCAGGGCGGGGGCGGGAGCAGGTTGTGTGACGCTACAGGGGCGGGGCCTCCCTATAGTGCTGTGATGCCAGAGGCAATGTGCGTTTGCGTCTGCAGACCGGCACACAGGGTCTCCTCGCCTCCTCAACACCTGCCACTTACAGGAATTTCTGGACTGCGAGGACCCCACCCCACCTCCAGGGTTCCAGTGTCCAAAAGCCTGCAGGCTTACTACTAAGATGGCAGCCCTGTCTTTGTACAAATCTCTCTTTGATGTCCTTCTGCCCATGGTCGGCCTCAGATTTAGCAAATTAAGTGCAGTGCTTCTTTGGGGAAGCCTCCCTCCCTCCCTGGGGTGGCTGAGCACTCGGGGTTGGGGGGCCTTTCTCCAGGCCACCTCTGCAGACTCCTTTTCCGTGTCTGTGGAGTTGTTCTGCACCTGCCTTGACATCTCTCATTCTGTTTCCAACAGACAGCTCCGAGGAGGAAGATGCCCCATCATTCGCGCCTTCTAGTTCAGTTGATGGCAATAACACAGACTCTGAATTTGAAAAAGGCCTAAAGCACAAGGCTAAGAATCCAGAGCCCCAGAAAACTGTGACCCCTGTCAAGGATGAGTATGAGTTTGATGAGGATGACGAGCAGGACAGAGTCCCTCCAGTGGATGACAAACACTTACTGAAAAAGGATTACAGGAAAGAAACTAAATCAAATAGTTTTATTTCTATACCCAAAATGGAAGTGAAAAGTTACACTAAAAATAACACAATTGCACCAAAGAAAGCTACTCATCGCATCTTGTCAGACACGTCAGACGAAGAGGATCTCAGTGTCACCGTGGGGACAGGAGAGAAGCTGAGACTCTCCGCACACACGATATTGCCCAGTAACAAAACACGGGAGCCTTCGAATTCCAAGCAGCAGAAGGAAAAAAATAAAGTGAAAAAGAAACGAAAGAAAGAAACAAAAGGCAAAGAAGTGCGCTTTGGGAAAAGGAGCGACAAATTCTGCTCATCGGAGTCAGAGAGTGAGTCCTCAGGGAGTGGTGAGGACGATGGGGACTCGGTGGGGAGCCCTGGCTGCCTCAAGGAGTCCCCGCTGGTGCTGAAGGACCCCTCCCTGTTCAGCTCCCTGTCTGCCTCCTCCACCTCGTCTCATGGGAGCTCCACTGCCCAGAAGCAGAACCCCAGCCACACAGACCAGCACGCCAAGCACTGGCGGACAGACAATTGGAAAACCATTTCTTCTCCTGCCTGGTCAGAGGTTAGCTCTTTATCAGACTCCACAAGGACGAGACTGACAAGCGAGTCTGACTGCTCCTCTGAGGGCTCCAGTGTGGAGTCACTGAAGCCAGTGAGGAAGAAACAGGAGCATAGGAAGAGGGGTGCCCTGTCCGAGAAAAAGAACTGCTTTCACTCCAGCGTGGACGGCGCCATTCCCAAGCTGGACAAGGAGGGGAAAGTGGTCAAGAAACACAAAACGAAACATAAACACAAAAACAAGGAGAGAGGACTGTGTTCAGTCAGTCAGGAACTCAAACTGAAAAGCTTCACTTATGAGTATGAGGACTCCAAGCAGAGATCAGATAAGGCTATACTTTTAGACAATGACATTTCTACAGAAAATAAGTTAAAAGTATTGAAGCACGATAGAGACCACTTTAAGAAAGAAGAAAAACTTAGCAAAATGAAGTCAGACGACAAAGAATGGCTCTTTAAAGATGAGATAATCAAGGCCTCCAAAGATGACAAGTCGCTCAGGAGAGTCAGAGACATGAACAAAGACGTGAGCAGGCCTTTCCGAGACGAGAAAGACCGCTCGAATAAAGTGGAAAAGGAGAAGTCAGCGAAGGAAAAGTCTCCCAAAGAGGAAAAACTGAGACTATACAAAGAGGAGAGAAAGAAAAAATCCAAAGACAGGCCTTCAAAATTAGAGAAAAAGAATGATTTTAAAGAGGACAAAATTTCAAAAGAGAAGGAGAAGACTTTCAAAGAAGATAAAGAAAAACTCAAAAAAGAAAAAGTTTATAGGGAAGATTCTGCTTTTGATGACTATTGCAACAAAAGTCAGTTTCTGGAGAATGAAGATACCAAATTCAGCCTTTCTGACGACCAGCAAGACAGGTGGTTTTCTGACTTGTCTGATTCGTCCTTTGATTTCAAAGGGGAAGATAGTTGGGATTCTCCAGTGACAGACTACAGGGACATTAAAAATGACTCCGTGGCAAGGCTGATCTTGGAAACAGTGAAAGAGGACAGCAAGGAGAAGAAGCGGGAGAGCAGAACCCGGGAGAAGCGAGACTACAGCGAAAAGCGGAGCGACAAGGATGCTTTCTTTAGAAAGAAAGACAGGGACTATCTGGATAAAAACTCTGAGAAGAGGAAAGACCAAATTGAAAAGCACAAAAGTATCGCCAGCTATCTTTCAGAAAAAGACAAAAAGAGGAGGGAGTCTGCTGAAGGCGGGCGAGACAGGAAAGACAGGGATCTGAGCGACATCTGCAGGGACAGAAAGGACCCCCTCGAGGGCGCCAAGGAGCGGAAGGACGGCAGAGCCAAGCCCGAGGAGGCGCACAGGGAGGACCTGAAGGAGTACAGCTGTGAGAGCATCTTCAAAGACAGGTCTGACTGTGACTTTGGGAAGAATCTGGAGCCTTGGGAAAGGCACCATTCTGTGAGAGAGAAGGAGAAGAGAGATGGCCTTGAGAAGGAGAAGAGAGAAAAAATAAAACTGGAAAAGTATAGAGACAAGTCCAGTGACAAAGATAAGAACGAAAAATCTCTCCTTGAAAAATGTCAGAAGGAGAAAGAATTTGATAAATGTTTTAAAGAGAAAAAAGATACTAAGGAAAAGCATAAAGATACACATAGCAAAGACAAAGAAAGAAAAGCGTCTTTTGACCAAGTTAAAGAAAAAAAGGAGAAGTGTTTCTCTGGAATTATCTCAGAAGACTTCTCTGAAAAAAAAGATGAAAAAAAGGGTAAAGAGAAAAGCTGGTATATTGCAGATATATTCACAGATGAAAGTGAAGATGAAAAAGATGAGTATCCGGCGAGTGGATTCAAAATTGGAGAGGCCGGTGAAGTGCAGCGGGTGGATGGGCTCCAGGAGAAAGACGACGGGAGGGAGCCGCACCCCTCGGACAGGCACCGGAAGCACTCCGTGGACAGGCAACATTCAGAGAAGCCAAAAGAGAAAGAACCCAAAGAAAAGAGAAGGGACAGAGGAGCCATGGAAGGCGTGAAAGACAAGAAAGAAAAGGCCTTTGACAAGCACAAAGAGAAGAAGGATAAGGAGTCCACAGACAAATACAAGGACAGGAAGGACCGGGCTTCAGTCGACTCCACTCAGGAAAGGAAGAGCAGACAGAAGCCCCCAGAGAAAGCAGAGAAGAAGCCCTGCGCAGAAGACAAGGCCAAGAGCAGGCACCGGGAGAGGCCAGACAAGGAGCATGGCCGAGAGAGGAAGGCGTCCAAAGGCGTCGAGCTGGAGAGGAGCCTGCTGGAGAAGCTGGAGGAGGAAGCGCTCCGGGAGTGCAGGGAGGACTCCAACGACAGGGCCAGCGAGGTGTCCTCCGACAGCTTCACGGACCGGGGACAGGACCCGGGCCTGAGTGCCCTCCTGGACACGTCCGTCACAGAGCCCCCGGAGGAGAAGGTCAAGGAGAGCTGCCCCCAGGAGAAGCTGAAGGAGAAGGAGAGGCACAGGCACTCGTCCTCCTCCTCCAAGAAAAGCCATGATCGAGAGAGAGGCAAGAAGGAAAAGTCCGAGAGGAAAGACAAGGGTGAGGATTATAAGGAGACGGGCAGCAGGAGGGACTCCAGCCAGTGTGAAAAGGAGTTCCTGGATGCCGACGCCTACAGCATTTCTTACAACACGAAAGCCGACATAGAAGATGAATTAGATAAAACCATTGAATTTTTTTCTACCGAAAAGAAAGACAAAAATGATTCTGAAAGAGAACCTTCCAAGAAAGTAGAAAAGGAACTGAAGCCTTATGGATCTGGTACCATCAACATCCTAAAAGAGAAGAAGAGAAGAGAGAAGCACCGGGAGAAGTGGAGAGATGAGAAGGAGAAACACAGGGACAAGCATGGGGATGGCATCCTGAAACATGCCCGGGACGAGCACAAGTCTGCAGCCAAAGACAAGGATAGCCCCCCAGGTTCTCTTAGAGAGAGGCCGAGGGACGAGAGCCTGAGACCCAGTGAGGCCAAGCTAAAGGAGAAGTCCAAGGAGAATCCAGAGAAGGAGAAGGCAGACTCAGTGAAACTCAGCAATGGAAGCGATAAGCTGCCCCCATCCAAAGATGTGGGCAGGAAGGACGTCAGGCCCAGAGAGAAGCTTCTTGGAGACGGTGACCTGATGATGACCAGCTTTGAGAGGATGCTCTCCCAGAAAGACCTGGAGATTGAAGAGCGCCACAAACGGCACAAGGAGAGAATGAAACAGATGGAGAAGATGAGGCACAGGTCTGGAGACCCTAAGCTCAAGGAGAGAGTGAAGTCAGCCGAAGACATGCGGAAGAAGAGTCTGGATGTCCCTCCAAAGAAGCCGCTGGGGCTGGACCCTGCCCTTAAAGACAAGAAGCTCAAGGAGGCGGCTCCTCCTCCTCCAGCCGCTGAGAATAAGCCCCACCTGGGACCAGCTGTGGACGCCAGAGACTGGTTGGCGGGACCTCATATGAAAGAGGTGTTGCCTGCTTCTCCCAGGCCTGATCAGAACCGGCCCACCGGGGTCCCCACCCCTGCGTCAGTAGTGTCCTGCCCCAGCTACGAGGAGGCGATGCACACCCCCAGGACCCCGTCCTGCAGCACTGACGACTACCCCGACCTCGGGTTCGACTGCACAGACCCCCCACCCATCTCTAGCACGTCTGCCAGCGCCTGCTCCCCCTCCTTCTTTGACAGGTTCTCTGGGGCGGCGAGTGGGATTTCAGAAACCCCTAGCCAGACACCCACGAGGCCTGTGTGCACAAACCTTTATCGTTCAGTCTCCGTTGATATCAGGAGGACCCCTGAAGCAGAATTCAGTGTTGGGGACAAGCTGTTCAGACAGCAGAGTGTCCCTACTGCGTCTAGTTTCGACTCGCCAGGGCAGCTCTTGGAGGACAAGGCCCCTGTTGCTCCAGGTCCCGCCGAAAAGTTTGCTTGCTTGTCTCCGGGGTATTACTCCCCGGACTATGGCATCCCCTCCCCCAAAGCAGACGGTCTGCACTGCCCGCCTGCAGCTGTGGTCAATGTCACTCCCTCCCCAGAGGGTGCCTTCTCTGGTTTACAAGCAAAGTCCCCCCCTTCACACCGAGATGAGCTTTTGGCTCCATCCATGGAGGGAGCCCTTCCCCCTGACTTGGGCATTCCCCTGGAGGCCACGGAGGACCAGCAGGCCACTGCTGCCATCATCCCCCCCGAGCCCAGCTACTTGGAGCCCCTGGACGAGGGCCCCTTCAGCACGGTCATCACAGAGGAGCCAGTTGAGTGGGCGCACCCTGCTGCCTCAGAGCAAGGTCTCTCTTCCAGCCTAATTGGGACTGCCCCCGAAAACCCTGTCAGCTGGCCCGTGGGGTCAGACCTTCTGCTAAAGTCTCCACAGAGATTCTCAGAGTCCCCAAAACATTTCTGTCCAGCTGCGTCCCTCCACCCTGCTGCCCCAGGGCCCTTCGGTGCCACAGAGCCCCCTTACCCAGGGTCCCCTGCCTCATACCCTCTGTCAGGCACTGAGCCTGGACTCGAGGAGGTCAGAGACACTGCGGTGGAAGCAATCCCGGCTGCTGTCTCCCCTTCAGAAGAACCCACCCCTTTCACCCCTCCCTCCAGGCTGGAGTCCTTCTTCAGTAGCTGCAAGTCGCTTCCGGAAGCACCCCCCGAAGGGCCCCCTGAGCCTGCGTGTGTGACCACCGTGGCTCAGGTGGAGGCTCTGGGGCCCCTGGAAAATAACTTCCTGGAAAATGGTCACAACCTGCCTGTCCTCGGCCAGGTGGAGCCAGTGCCCTGGTCTGACCCCTTTACCACCCCTGTGGACGACTTAGACCTGGGACCCTTCTCACTGCCAGAGCTTCCCCTTCAAACTAAGGACGTTTCCGACGTCGAAACAGAACCTGTAGAAGACAGTCCTCTCATTCCTCCAGAAAATACCCCTGCAGGGGCCCCCATGGTCCTGAATGGTGGGGATGTCGCTGCATCAGCTGCTGAGGAGCAACTCGTGCTGCCCCCTGACCAGCCGGTCACCCGGCTCCCTGCCGAGCCTGAGCCCCTGGAGGAGCCGAAGCCCGCCATGATGCTGAATGCCACGGCAGAAGCAGGGGCTGTGTCAGAGGCGAGGGCTCCTGAGGACTCCAACTCCAGCTTGGGGCCTGTGCCAGCCCTCCCGGAGCAGCTTCCACCAGGGGGTGGTGACGAGGAGGCCGAGTGCCAAGACCCCTCGGCTGTATCCCACGGTGCACCTGACCCTCCTGTGGACTGCTTGGCAGAGGCGGACGGGGCTGGCCCCCATGACACTGCTGGGCTTGAGGGGCCTCCGAGCAGTGTCCTGCCCGAAGCTACAGAACCAGAACCCAAACCCACAGCCGAAGCCCCAAAGGCCCCCAAAGTGGAGGAGATCCCCCAGCGCATGACCAGGAACCGGGCTCAGATGCTGGCCAATCAGAACAAGCAGAGCTCGCCCCCTTCTGAGAAGGAGCCTGCCCCGGCGCCCAGAGCGAAGGGCCGCGGCTCCGAGGAGGAGGACCCGCAGGCCCAGCACCCGCGCAAACGCCGCTTCCAGCGCTCCAGCCAGCAGCTGCAGCAGCACATGAACACGTCCACACAGCAGACGCGGGAAGTGATCCAGCAGACGCTGGCTGCCATCGTGGATGCCATCAAGCTGGACGACATCGAGCCCTACCACAGTGACAGGTCCAACCCGTACTTTGAATACTTGCAAATCAGGAAGAAGATTGAAGAGAAGCGGAAGATCCTCTGCTACATCAGCCCGCAGGCACCCCAGTGCTACGCCGAGTATGTCACCTACACGGGCTCCTACCTTCTGGACGGCAAGCCACTCAGCAAGCTGCACATCCCCGTGGTGAGTGCCAGGGGCCGGCCTGAGGGTGTGTCCAGGTGACGGGTCAGGACCCTGTTTACTGTGTGTCTGAATGCGAACGTCAAGCTTGAGGATGCCAGAGCTTAGGACAGGTGTGGCGCCATCCTGGGGACCAGGCTTCAACACGAGGTCCACGTCAACACAGCAGCTCTGGGTCAGGACACCTGCTTCCTTTCCTGTTTGTCATTCACCACTTGTCCCATGTCAGCTCCCGATCCAGTGCCCTACAGGGTCACTGCCTGCCCAGCCCTCAGGACTACCCCAGCACCCTCCTAACTGTCACCCAGCTCCCTGTCTGCTGCGCCCTGTGGACCTCCAGCTAGAGCCATCCAGTGCTGCTGGGTCCCTGGTCTCCCAACCTCCTTCCCTGGGACTGGGGCTGACCAAGGCCCGCACCCTGTGTTGGGCACCCCTGCACACAGTCCCCCTTTCTGCAGCTCAGTCTCTCCTGTCAGCTCCCTTCAACAGCCCGAGGCCTCCACGGGACATCCAGCCTGGCTGCAAGCCCGACCCCTCCCTTGAGCTCTCCACGCCTCTGTCCTGGTTCCCAGCGGCCCCGGCGCCTTTGCCACCTCCTTGAAGCTCTCCTTTCATCAGGCTTCCAGCTTCCCCGCCTAGCAGGCCTGTTCTCAGCCAGCACCCCAGCCCACCTCTCTTTTCATCCTCATGTCCAAATGTCACCAAAAGGGGACATGTCCAAATCCCACCATGCACACCACCCTCCGCCCCATCCTCTCATGCCAATGTCTGGGCTGTCAGCAAACCCTGATGAACAGGACTCTGTGGGCAACAGGCCTCTCACATCGCTGCTTCCCCTGCTCCACCCTCCCCTGGGTTGGCTCTTGCTTCCTCCTTGCCCATGGGGGTCTGTTCTTAGCACAGCAGGCACAGGGATTCTTGTGGAGTAGAGCCAGGGTGCCCCCGCCACGCCCCCCTGCCCCCGTCCCCGCCCCCATTCCCTGGGCTCCGAGGACCCAGGCTCATGGTGCTCTCCACGTGTTGCTGATTTACACCGTGTGCCCCTTGAGGTGCTTTGTGCTCTTGACCCTGCCACCCCCTTGAAGAAAAGCCAGGACTTCTTTTTGCTTTATCCATTCAGCCTAGGGTGGGCCTCAGTCATGGCGATCAAGTGAATGCTGGTCCCCTGGGAGGCCTGGGCACGCAGCCCACACAGCCAGTCTCGAGGGAACTTCGTCCTGAAGGAGAGTCTCATGGGATATGTGTGCTGCTGCCAGACGTCAGTGTTCTGAGAGTCGCACCCATGCTGGCTTCACCAGGCAGAACACTCACTTCCTGGGACTGACAGCCAGCGTCTTCTGAATGAAGACTAGTGGCCTTGAGCACCAGGTGCAAAGGGTGAGGGCCAGGGGCACCACTGCCTGGACCACCACCCTCGCTGCCCAGCCCAGCCTACGTTTTGTCCCCTGAGCACGGCTAGCTTTGAACCCAGAAGAATGTCACCAGCGTCACTCTCCCTTCTCCTGGTCCCCTCGCCCGAGAAGCCCGGGGAGGCCACCCTGCACTCCTCTGGCCTGGGAGCCTTCAGCTGCCTGGCTCATCTGGGTCACCAGATTCAAAAAACCTGGCCTGAGCTTTCTGTTCAGTGAGACTTCCCTGTTTGTTTAAATTTTAGTTATTGAAACAAAAGAGTGCCGTGAGCACCCTAGAAAGTTTAGAAATTCTGGAGAAAGGAAACCAATAGAGGTCACTCCTCCTACCCCAGAGTTCACCCCGTCAGTGGTCCCTGCATCTCCTGCTCTCTTCTCTTCTGCTGGGACTTAGGCCTTTCTGGAAGAAAGCTCCATTTTACTTCCCAGTGCCACATAATTTGAGCAGCCAGGCTGTCAGGGCAGGGCAGGTGGAGGGCAGCTGTTCCTGTTTTTCACCAGGCCAGAGGCCTGGGGCAAAACAACCCAGAGCAAGAAACACTCATGCCTAGACACGCCCCTTTCATTGCACTTGCATCACCTCCAGGCCACCCAGGTGGAGTCAGACGAGGAAGGTGCAGGGGACCCCATGGGGCTGGGTGCATCGAGGCAGAAGACGGTGCAGGGGAAAGGGTGTGTGACTGGGGAGCTAGCGAGATGTTTTAATTTCTCATTTTGAGCTGATTTTAGACTGACGGAAAAGTTGAAAGCACAAAGCGTGTTTGTGGCTCCTTGCTTGGCCTCCTGGATGTGGCAGGTCACCCGCCTCGTCCTCCAAGACCTGACACTCAAGCGTGTGGATGAGGTAGTTGGTCTGACGTCCACAACTGGACTGAGGTTACATGTTTTTGGCGAGAACCCACAGATGTGACGTGAGGCCTCGGTGCCTTGAGTCGCGTCCCCAGTGTCATCAGTCCTGTAGTGTTGGCCCAGGTCCCCTGACGGCTCCCCTGTGCAGTCCTGTCTTTCCCTTTGTGGTTGGAACATATTTTGGGGAAGATACTTTGGGACTCCATCAGTTCTGTTTTCCTCGAGCGTCTGCCGCCTAGTTTCAGTTTCTGCAGGGGATCTCATCTGCAGGTTACTCTGTGGTCGGGCCTAATGCCGATTCTCCGTTTCTCTCTCCTCCGTCTGGTGATTGGAGTTCTCCTAGAGGCTGTGGGTTCTGATCCAACGTGAGTTACCATCATTGATTTTGTGTGCACATTGTTCCAGCCGTGGCTGTAGGAGCTCCTTCAAGTTGCCCCATCTTTTTTGAGCACACTCTCACTTTCTGGCCCCACGAGATGGTCCAGCTCTTCTTGTGCTTTTCCTGCCTCAGCCCTGTCATCAATCGTGTGGTCTCTTCTGGTGGGAATGGTGTTGAGAAACGAAGTCCTGGGCACAGGGTGTGCTCACTGTCCTGGGTGACATAGCGCCCAGCCCTCGGCGGACAGAACCAGGGCCTACGTGTGCTGCTCCGCATCCCTCCAGCTGGGTCTGCTGCAGAAACCCTGACTCCATCATGTGTTGCACCTTCTTTCTGCACGAGAGAGACCCAGTGCTGCTTCTCTGCAGTGTGGGCACTGACCTGCTCACTCTGGCGCACGTGTTCTGGGTCAGAAGTGCTGGCCCCCCATGAGGAGCGCCTTCATGCTTAGAGGACGGCGTTTGCGCTGGTTCTTCGGGTCTCCGCCCACTGTGTCTTTCCCCAGTGACTTAGGGAGCTCTCTCTTCCCCTGGCTGATGCCCTATTGAGAGAGTCGTGCTCACTGGTCGCATTTGTGTTCCCTCTTGGCACCCACGTCCCCGTTGCTTTAATGGATTATTTGGGGGTATGTGAAACCTCACTGTAGATGAAGGAAGCTCAGTGCTCGCCCTCTCCTCTCCCAGCGCCCTCTCTTGTTCATGCCTTGTCTGTCATGTTTCTTCCACACAGGCAGCCCTGTGTACATATTCTTTGTCTCCTCTTCTTTCTTGCAAGAAGGGCAGCAGTGTAGACACACTCTGCACCTTGCTTTTCCCTTCACACGATCTCTGGAACTCACTCGCCTCGTTCTTTTTTACCACTGCGTAGTCCTCCTCTTGGGCGGAGCGGGGTGGGGGGTGTGCCTTAGTTGCTTCACTTGCTCCCTATCTTCAAGCATCTAGTTGTTTCCAGGGAGGGCCTGGTGCATCCATGTTTTGGTGTGACCAGAGGTATGTCTTCAGGGCAGACGCCTACAAGCGGCATTGCTGGGTCCCTTGGGCTCTTGGTGCAGGTTCGTGGTCCCCACTAATCCCTCCCTCTCACCCTCTCCAACTGCAGATTGCACCCCCTCCCTCGCTGGCGGAGCCCCTGAAGGAGCTGTTCAAGCAGCAAGAGGCCGTGAGGGGGAAGCTGCGTCTCCAGCACAGCATCGAGCGGGTAAGAGGAGACCGGGTGTGAGGGGCCTGGGCCCAGGGGCCTCTGGCCCTTGTTAGTCTTGGCTCATCCAGCTCCTCTCCTCCAGGAAAAGCTGATCGTCTCCTGTGAGCAAGAGATCCTGCGGGTTCACTGCCGGGCAGCAAGGACCATTGCGAACCAGGCGGTGCCGTTCAGCGCCTGCACCATGCTGCTGGACTCTGAGGTCTACAACATGCCACTGGAGAGCCAGGTCGGTGTCGCCCAGGCTGGGCGCGCACTCCTGTTTCCCAGGAAGAGCTGGGCCTTCCAGGCTGTGGCTGCACCACAGGCAGCGAGCGGGAGGCGCCCACAGACCCCAGCCTGGTTACGTGGGCATGCCGCAGGGGCCAGATTCGCTAGTCCGCCTCAGAGATGGGGAAAGCAGGGTGACGGGGCAACAGTGCACTCAGTGCTGGTGTTATAAGATGCCACCTGGATCTGCAAGTCCCCATTCCAGGGTCTACCATGTGCAGGCGCCCAGGTCACAGGGCTGGGCCTCAGTAAGTTTCAGTCACTTTGAGTTATTTAGATTTTCCTCCAAAACATAGACATGATTAGGATGGGTGGGTCCCAGCCCCGTCTGTTGCTGTGAGCAGCGAAGGCTCCATAGGAGGGATCATGCTGGGGACACTGGTGGCCTTGCGCCAGCCTGGTGACAGGGGCAGCAAGGCAGAGCAGCCAAGGGCCAAGAGGTGTAGGAGCCTGGGCTGCTCAGCAGAGCAGTGCTCCCCCTCACTGGTCCTACGCCCCGGGCGCTGTTACTGCAGAATGGACCCATTAGGCTGGGCTGGGCCGGGCTGGGCAGCAGGGGCCAGAGCACTGCCGTCCATGCAAACACTGGCTCGCCTCGACCGCCCTCCAGAGTGGCCTGGCCTTGTCCACTCCTGTGGCCATCCCGCCACCTCAGGGTTAGATTTGTCCCACATGGTCAAACCCTGTGCTTCCCCTGCCCGATGGGGCCTGTCAGTAAACGTGTGGGCACCCCCACCCCATAGTCTCCCCACCTCTCTGCCCGCTGTGGTGCAGGACTGCTCCCATACTTGAAGGGGCCACTCCCAGCCTCAGGAGTTTCCAGCTGCCTCCTGACCTATCTCATATGTGTCCCCTGTCCTCCATCCTGAGCCTGCTGCTGCCCGCTGCACTCAGGCCTGGCCGCCTGAGGCTGTCTGCCTGGGCTTGACTCCCGGGATTCTCTTCCCCACAACCACTAAGACCTTTTGACAGCAGCTGAGATGCATCAGTCTGGGCTTGCCTGAACACTGTTGTTCCCTCGGGCCTGTCCTGCTGCCCCTTCACTGTTCAGGCCTTGGTGCCAAGTGCCCCTCCTGACAGATGTTCCTCATGGCCCCCTGGCCAGCGTGAGCCCCTGCTGCAGCCCAGGCTCCTGGGGGATCGCATGGACCCCTGGGGTTGCAAGCCTCATTCCCAGGCTGGCTGTGTGGCCACACAGTGGTTCAGTGGTTTTTAGTTAAAAACTTTTTTATTAGTGCATTAAAGATTTTCCCACTCACTTACATACAGTCTTCAAGGATATCTCTTAAAAACTCTCCTCATTTGATGTACTATGCATAATGACAAGTTTTTTCTAAAGCAACATTTGGTGACAAGCCATAAAACGAGGTTTGGTTGGGAACTGAATAATTACTTCAGGAATTGGGTGTCTGGAAGTTTCACTTTTTGTATTTAAATGAAAAAAGAAAAGGAATCTGCTAATCTTTAAGGGATTTCCTGGGTTGCTTCTGAATGTGACAGAGGAGGTCTCGGGCTCCAGCTCTTCCCTCAGATGTGGTTGGTGTGGGGCCTTTGCTCAGCCTCGGTGCAGTCGTGTGTGGCTGTGGCGAGAGACTGCTGTGTTAACCTTGTCAGCGTGACGGTCGCCCTCACCCGGGGGAGACCCTGCAAACCCAGACAGCAGGAGACTGCAAGAGCCACCTGCTTGCCTGTCTCCTCCATCCCCGTTGGTAAACCACAGCCCATCACGCACACAAATGCTGCTGTTCGTGAGGACGGTGATGGCAAGTTAGCACTCCCTGTAGAGTGAAACCAAAGGCTGGCCCTCGGCCACCTCAGGCCTCTCAGACGTCCTTTTCAAAGAAAAAAATTACCTCGTTTTTACAAACAGAAGGAATTGAAGCATGCCATTGCCAGCTTTACCGTGTGCCTCCATGTGGCCTGCAAAGGAAGCCGAGGCTGGAGTCTGAGGGGCCCCGTCTGTCTCCTCCCAGAACGCATATCTCCTCCATGGGGGTCATAACAGACATGTAGGACGCCCTCCTGGGGGCTCCTGAGTCACCCCCAGGCAGCTCCACCACAGACATCGTGGGAACAGTGTGTCTGGGACGGCCCCATGGCCGCCTCAGGCGTGTTATGAAAGCGGTTTGGGGCAGGGATGGTCCTGCCGCTGGGTCCCGGGGCACGTGGACAGTGCATGGACTTGGGATAAGGCTGCAGCTCCAGCTCTTCACGCAGCACATGGCAGGTGGGCCTCCGCCGTGCCCTCCTCGCTCTTCCCTGGCCAACGTCCACATCTCTTTCCCCACCAGGGAGACGAGAACAAGTCAGTGCGGGATCGGTTCAACGCCCGCCAGTTCATCTCCTGGCTCCAGGACGTGGATGACAAGTATGACCGCATGAAGGTGAGTGCTCCTTGCTCCCTGAGCTGCCACTGGGCTGGGAGCCCCCAGGAGTCTTCTGGGGTGGGGGGAGGCTGCTGCCGGGCCGGGTTTGGAGGTGAGTTTGAGACGCTCTCTGAACGCAGCTAACACTCTCTGGGAGCCAAGGTCTCCCCACCCCCATGTTGCCTCCTTAGAGTGTCTTCCCTCCTGTCCAGGTGTGCGGGGAGCAGTTCCTGTCACCAGCTGGCGGTCAGACCTCTGTGGGACCCCACCTTGAGCCCTCCTCAAAGGTCACAGCACACACCCATCACCACTGCTCTGGACGTGCTGACCAGTGCAGCAGGCAGAGGGTGGGTGGGAGATACAGAGATTAGCAAGTAAGATGCAAGTCCTCACCAGCAGTTGCTAGGGTTGCACATCGGGTCACCCAGGAGAGCCAAGTGAAAACTCACCACCAAGCACGTGCCAGTTACAGGATCTCACATGCACGTTAGCACCCCCCGGAAGCTCCACGAGGCAGGCCATGTGGGCCGTGCCTGCTGCTCCTCCCCCTGGGAGCCAGAGAACCAATGGGGTGAGCCCAGGCTCCCCACGCCACCCCTGTTCTTGGAGAGTAAGACGGTGTTTCCAGCCACACCCATGTCCCTTAGACCTCAGTGACCCATGAACATGGCCCCGCAGCCATGCACACAGGGAGGTGTTGGCACTGAAAGCCCAGAGAGGGACCGCCGAGCCCCCGTGTCACCTTGTGGGTATGTGTCTGACAGACCCCGAGGCGCTGGTGTAGTCACATCTCACTCTCCGCCCACCAGCCAGGCTTGAAGGAGCCACAGGAAGACTTTCCTATAAAAAGAGAAGTGATATTTGATGACATTAAAAGTAGACTCTGAACATTAAAAATGCCACATACATCTAATTTCTTTAATGTGCTAAGAACTTACAAACTAATAAGAAAAAGGTGGATAGAAAAAGAAACTAGTGAAGTGTATAGAGTCAGTGCAGGAAGATGAAATGGCCACACCTTCACGAAAAGATGTTTCATGTGACCACTCATTTCAGAACCTGAGGTCACGAGATCCTATGTAGGAGACAGACTGCTGGCCCATGCCTGCAGTCCTGGGGCCCGCGCCACTGGTGGCCTGTAGGTAAATGGACAGTAGCTGTCACATTCCACAGCGTTCTGGCTGCCTCACTGTGGTCATTCAGAACTCAGGGGTCTGCACAATGTTCACTGGAACAGTCCCGTCAAATGGAAAACCAGAAGCCCATCAGTGATGCAGTGTGCATGGTGCTGGGGAGCGCGCCAAGGCCGAAAGGCTGTAGGGCATCGTCCCTGCGGGCACACGCAGCCCGCGAGCAAGTGCTGGCCTGAGTCTCACCGAGGACCCGAGTCCTTCCTGAGGCTGCACACTCCAGCACAGGCGTGCCTGCCACAGCCCACGGTGGCTGTTTGCAGAGACTGGAGAGGGAGGAGGACTGGCATTCTCCGCGCTTCCTAAAGCAAGTTAGAGACTGATAGCCACCCCGGGTCCTGTGTGCACATCTAAGGGAAGATAAGGATTTTCCGGCCCCATCACATACCGCCAGACTTTGTTGGCACGACCGTGTTCACACGTCCGAGGCCCCGCCACGTTCAGAACTCCCCTATTCCCCAAGGTGCGTCCCACCCAGACCCGCATGCTCATCTGGTCAGGTCCTATTGCAAGAATCTGATTAGAGTCATTATTCAGTTTTCAACTTTCTACCTGCTTTATATAAAAGACTTAAATAGTCTTAACTGTTCACTATTATTTAGTGCCTATTAACAGTATACCCACGAATATTAAACACTTTAATACTAAACCCCAGATAACACTTTAAAAATTAAAAGGCATAATTTCCACTATAAATGCAAATGAAACCAACATCACCAGCCATAAATAAGATAACTGTAAAACAAAAATGGAAAAGCAGAGTGGTTACAAATTCCAATTAAATGTTGTGGCGAAGTGCACAGGGTGGGGGCACAGGGCAGGGACAGACCCCCGTGTGGTCAGCACCACCGCTGAGCAGGACCACCCCTGAGGGAGGATAGACCCAAATGTGAAGAGGCCAGGGGCAGTCAGGTGCCTGCAGGATGGCCCTGGGGACCATGCAGAGGCGCAGGCCACCACAGCCATAGCTCAACCTGGGTCCCGACCCCAGTTCTCTCAGTGGGGGTTTCGGCAGGGAGAGCAGGCAGTGGGGGCCCAGTGCTCCTGCTCAGGCAGCCGGGGGGCGGCTGGGAGGCGGCCAGGGTCTTGCCTCCGCTCTCCTCACCTGCTGTGTCCCCTGTGCAGACATGTCTCCTGATGCGGCAGCAGCACGAGGCTGCGGCCCTCAACGCTGTGCAGAGGATGGAGTGGCAGCTGAAGGTCCAGGAGCTGGACCCTGCAGGGCACAAGTCCCTGTGCGTGAACGAGGTGCCCTCCTTCTACGTGCCCATGGTCGACGTCAACGACGACTTCGTGCTTCTGCCAGCCTGACGCACCATGGGATGGCCGCACAGAACACAGGCGCGGGCCACACATCTGCCCGGTGCTGCTGCCACGTCCGAGCAGCAGGAGACCTTGTCCCTCAGGTGGGGACACCCAGGGAGAAACCCCGCACTTTGCCCCCTGGAGCGTGGCCCTTTTACACCAGCCGCTGCAGTAGGACAAGGAGACTGGGTGGGGCATAGACATGGTGGCCTTGGGGTCTGTTTTCCAGCCAGCTGCACAGGCATTTCAGGAGCTGCAGAACGGAGTGCGTTTTTTAAAATTTCTTGTTCCATTCTGATCAACTAAAGGAAATAAAATTAAGGTTTCCACCCCTCAGAAACAGTGACTCTGGGTCGGAGGGCAAGGGGAGTGCCGTCCTGGCCACTGCCCTGTTGCCACGGAGCCGCCAATGGCCGCAGGCCTCCAACTGGGCCTGGGACGCTGTGCCGAGCGACGCCCGGCTGCGCCGCCCACCCGCCTGTCACAGGACACAGAGCCAGGACTCTCCGGTTGTGTTTTTAATGGAGTCAAATCCACGTGGTTTGTATATTTTTTCCTTTAATCTTGGGCATTTTGTTTCTCTTTCTGAGAACATAACTTGAAACACTACAGAGCCAATAATCATATAAAAAGTGTTCCCGTAAACGCTGTACAGTTTTATACACATTCACAATGTACTTTTGCTGCCTTCTAGATAATTTATTTTGCAACACATTACTGCACAGTTGTAAATAACTTATGTACTGTAACATCACTTCAGTTATGTGTAAAGAAATAAATAAATTAATTAAATGCTCTTTGTACATGACAGTCCCCTCCGTGGGAGGGGCCGACATGCAGGACTGTGACACGAGGGGTCGCGCCACTGAAAACTCCAATGTCCTCAACTTTTTTCCTCCCTAATTATTAGCTTTTAATTTTGGAACAAATTATACTTTCCTGCCCTTCCTGGGCCCTAAGGGGCCGTGCCCCTCTGCCTGAGGAGCTGCTCAGCTCAAGTCAGGAGGTGCTGGCTGGGGAGGTGAGGCCTGGGGGTGATCCCTGTGTTCTCCACATCCCTCCCCGCAGGTGGACACCACGGGGCAGAGCTAGCAGCTCCTGCAAAATGCTAGGGTGTGGGGACGTGACAAGGACCAGCCCCAGGAAAGTCACTTCTCTCTAGGGCAGCAGGTCCCTGGGGCCATGCGGCCCCCCAGAGACCACCGTCCAGGCCCAGTCAGCTCTCGCTCCCTGGCTCTCTGCCTGCTCCCAGGTGACTGGCTCAGGAAGGCTGGGCTCCCTGTGTTGAGAGAGCGAGCCGCCACCCTGAGCTTCCACTTGGGGCAGGAGGGGCTGAGAGTCTGCATTGCCATCAGGTTCCCCAGTGAGGCTGCAGCGGGTGCAGGGCTCCCACTTTGAGAGCCCTTGTGCTAGCTGAAAACCAGCTTGGAGGACAAGAATTGGGGGTTTGAGCCCAGCACATCCCAGCAGGGGTTGGGCCTTGCACTAAGCGAATGGGGCTGTCGCACCCTGTGCTCCTCTCTGGGGCAGGCACACTGCGGGGACAAGTCAAGAGCCAGCGTGGTGGCTGTTGTGTGGCCAGCAGTGCATGGGGGCCATCTTTAGTGCAGGAGCTCCCAAAGTGGTTTTTCCCCAACAAGACCACGCTTGCCCTGTCCTTTCCACAACTTCTGTTCCAATGTCTGGCTCACAGAGTCAGCTTCCCTGACACCCAGGGACTAGAGAGATGTGTGGTGCGTGGAGGCGACAGGCCCAGGCAGTGAGGTCTGGGATAGACCTTGTCCTTGCACATCCTGGGACACCTCACCCTCTTCTCTGTGCTTCCTGTACCTGGCAGGGGCAGCAGGAGCTACAGAAATGACCCACACAGAGGACTGGGAGCCCAGCTCCATGCCCCAGTGCCCCTGCAGAGCAGCCTGAGGCAGCCTGTGGCCTTTTCCTCCTTGGGTGGAGGCTGAGCTCCTTGGCGTGGCCTGGGCTCTCTGGGGTCAGGCTAGGGCAGGACCTCGGTGTTCCCATGCACCTGGTGTGGCCCCTCGCCAGGTCCATGCCTGGGGGCTGGAGCACCGGCACCCCCATCTCCTGACTGTCCTCAGTGCAAATTCCCTCTGGGCTGGTCCCACCTTGTGTGTATCCTCGGGAGGGTCAGGGAGGCTGCTGAGCTCCCAGCAGGTTTTCTGGGCAAGTCGGTAGTTTTCCTAATCATAGAACTTTGGGCCCAGTAGCCCTGCTGCCTTTTCAAACAGCAGCCGCCAACCTGCACTCATTCGCATGGAGAGTCTTCAGGCCACAACAGCGGGCTCTCAGACTCCCCGGCTCCATGTGTGGGGGCCCTCTGCACAGCGTGCACACCCCAGGGGTGCCCATGGGCCATGTGCTTGAGTGTGGACAGCTCAGAGCCTCCTCTCGCCTCTACCGTCTGTTACAGACCACGGTCCCGCAGCAGCGAGCAGTTGGTACCAGGATGATGTCCTGACGTCCCTTTCCAGAGTCTGTGCACACTGGTGCTGCCCCATCAGATGACTTCCTGCCAGAAGAGAGAAATGACATAGACGCCTTGTCTATACTGCGTGGGCAGAGGCGAGCACCACTTGTGATAAATTCTCAGAACAGAGGCTCTGTCTGTGGTTCTGCTCCCAGTTCTCATCTGTCTGGACTTGAAGAGTCAGTGCAGAGGTTTCTCAGAACATCCTCGAGTCCAGAATCGTGCCTGAGCTGGAAACACTGCTGACTGTCCCTCGGGCCTGTGACTGCAGATGTGGGCATCAGGCCGCCCTCAGGAGGGTCCGGCTTGAGCTGGAGGAAGGCAGCGCTTTGCTGAAGATGCCAGGGTCCCACCATTGGCTCCTGCTCCCTGCACCTGGCGCCACCCTGACTGCTGCTGGAGTCCTGGCTCTGGTGGGCAGGTGCTGCCTTCTCGCCGCAGAGAGGTCCACCACCTGTAATTCAAGGCTCTTCAGAGGCTCTCAGAACCTCATGAGCATCAACACAAACGCGAGACGAACGCCTGCCTGGTCCTCAGGTGCCGTGGACCAGCGTGCCCACCCAGACATGGGTCCTGTCAGGGAATTGTAGCCCCCTGCTTAGATGGAGAGATGAAAGAAATGAGGAGCTTTTTACAACCTGAGGATACGCTGACAGCAGACTCTGCAACCTGGAAGCAGGTGAGGGGTTTTCATGAAAAGCCACGAGCAGCTTTCCTCTTGCACAGAAAGCAGTCAAGGAGGAGAGTTCCAGCATGCAGGGAGCCTGGAGGTGGGGCTGGCGAGGGGACCTCGCAGTATCTGGTCATGGCAGGAAGACAGGGTCTCCATCGAGGGGGCTCGGTGCCCAAGTGCTGATTGGACAGCTAAGTGAGAGTTGGTGACCTTGGCAGGAAGAGCCCTTCACGTGAGCCAAGTCAGCATGCGGGCTCCGGTGCTGTGTGGGCTCCCTAGCAGGCGAGGGCGTGGGAAACACCACTCCCAGACGTGCTTTTTTCTCCTTTATCTTGGGGGACTTAACGACAGGTGCACAGGATGGTGGAAAGAACTGGCTCAGGTTTTATTTGTCGGAAAACAGAATGAGAAACTGAAACCAGCAGGGAGGAAACACAACCTGCAGTGAGGGGCAGCACAGGAGTATGGGGCCCAGCACGCGTGTCACACACCAGGGCCGGGGCTTTGAGCTCCTCTTCTGGTGGGTAGTGAAATGGCACAGAACCAAGAGAAACGCTTGCTTATGGGCACAGAACATTACTTACAAACATAACATACGTGAATTATTTGTAACAGTCAAAAACTAGAAACAAATGTCATTTTCTTGAAAAAAGGATAAGTTGTCGGATATACAGCAGGGTTTCTCAGCCTTGGTACTGCTGACCTTTGGCCCAATGAGTCTCTTGTGTCGGTTGTCCTGTATGTTGTTGCCCTTCATCGAAGGCCCGTAGCACCCCCACCCCACCCCACCCCCAAGCTGTGACAACAGCAGTGTCTCTCAGTACTGCCAAATGTTCCCTGGGCAGCAAAATCACCCCCGCTGAGAACTGCTTATATACAGCAATGAGGATTAACAAAGTCCACCTACATACACAATTTGTATGATTCCATTTACATAAATTTCCAAAAGATAGGAACATAAAACTGCACGTGAGCAGTCAGTCACCGTGTGGGGCATGCAAGGGCTCTGAGGCATGCTGGCGATACCCTATTTCTTGACCTGGGTTTGGCTATATGGGTATTTGCTTTGTGATAACTCAATGGGCAGTAGATATGTTTTTGGCATCTTTCTATAATATTTCACATACAAAAATGTTTTTCTAAAAAAGAACACATTTCTCCACTTTCCCAGGAAGCCAGAATGATATGCACGGAAATACTTTGGAAAATATGATGCAGGATGCCACGTTAAAATGGCAGTCAGAGACATTTACCTTCCAGTCAAAATCCCAAAAAAAAAAAAAGAGAAAGGTGGGGTAGGGGGATGACAGATCCAAAGCAGCCCTATTCAAGAAACAAGGATCACATCGCAGATCAGAACCTCTGAGAAACAGAGAAGATAAAGTAGGGCGAATTAATTTGATGGAAAGTAAAACAGGACTTCCAGAATAGCAGAGAGAGGACCTCTAAAAACCTCCTCCATAAGAGCAATGATAACATTGGAGGGGAAAAGGACCTGTCAAAATAACGTTTTCATAACTCTAGAAATTAACCAAGGCTTGTAACAATCCAAGGAGTGATTAATGAAGAAAAATAGCTGAATCTCAGTACAGTGAGCTTTGTGTCATTTTAAGTTTCCACATTTCCATTTCTCTCTCTCCAGACACATTAGCCTTGAAAACTAGCAGCCACCAGAGGTGTCAGACTTGGTGTGGACCTCCTCAGATGCTCTCCCATCTCCAAGGGACCATCACATTTGACCTGTCGGGCAGCTCCCTGGAAAAGCCCCATTCATAGGGCTTATCATCATTTGACCTGACTTGGAGTTCCTTCAGTGGGAAAAGCCCTCTTCTCAGAAGATTTGTCAAAAACAATCAATGACAACTATTTAACATCACAGCGGCCTGAGGTGGTGATACCAGTAGGGGCAAACAAGAGCTTGGCCGCAAAATTTAAAAGGAAAATCTGGGGAATAAGATGCCCATGGGTACTCTTAAACACTGACGTATTCTTTGGGATATAGAAGGCCGTGCACATGTGCAGGTCTGTGTGCATGCCCAGGAAGTAACTGAGAACATCCTATTTTCTCACTTTGGGCTAAACTTGAAGCCTTGTGGACACAGGAAGTGAAGGCAAAGGCAGAGCTGTAAGCTGAAAAAGTATTGAACAGCCTTTGGGCAAAGGATGGAAGACTTACTGGATCAAGGCTTTTAAGGAAATCTCTGTCCAATCATTTGCTGAGCACAGAGACTTCACTGCCCACACACAACAGAGAACTCAAGACTTTACAGAATGAGTTCAGGAAAGTCACTAAACACAGAGCAGCAGCAGCAGCCAACAGACAGAAAAACAAAACGTGGGCAATGGGAAACTGATTTCCAGAGTCACTACATTATGCTATTTGAAACGTCTACTTTTGAGCAGAAAATTAGGAGATATGTAAAGAAACAGAAAGTATGACTCATAGACAGGAAAAAAAAAGTAACCAATAGATACTGTCTCTTAGGAAGCTCAGTGTTAAACGTACTAGACAAAGACAGCTTTGATAAGTCATGTTCAAAGAACCAAGTGAAATTATGTCTAAAAATTAATACAACAGTAAGAGAGTGGTTCTCACCAAATAGAGAATACCAATAAGGAGAGAAATTGTTTTAAAAAGAAAATAG